TTCGCCGCTTCCCCCTTCCCCCGCCCCCCCCCCCAATGCCCCTTTCCAACCCACAGATGCTGCTCTCCAAGCTGCTGGGCTGCACATCAGGAATCGGATCGGTGTTGGTCAGCCCCTGGCTGGTTAATTATCAGCCATGAGTATCGGCCAAGAAAACCTTTATTGGTGGACCCCTGTAGGTTTTTTATCTTGTATTTCTGTATGTTCAAGAGGTTCCCTTATTTGACAATCCTTAACATATCTGTGTGGAATAGAAGATATCTTAATTATTTTCTGAGTTAGCTGTTCAGAGGTCACAGGCTGAACATCTTTGGACACTTGCCATGGTGCTATGTATTTGGTGTGAAATTGCTGTTTGGGTACAGATACCCCTGAAGGCCTTTTCTGTCTTCTGCGTCCTTAGACATCTACCCATGTCATATGCTAATTCAATGCATGTAGCTGTTTCCTGTCTTATCTTCCTATCTTAATTCTGAGGTTTGTATTTTGCCTATTTTAAAGCTAATCACTTTTGCAGAGAACACGATAACATTTGTTCTTTTTGGGTAGCCAGTGCATCTGTTGAACAAGCATGTTCCTAACTGATTTTAAACCGTGTCTAGTAGTTCACTGAAATCTAATTCTTGGAACTGTGTCAAGCAGACTAATGACTCTGAGGATTATTTCCCTAAAAATAAGCAGCTTTTTGTTTTGTATGGCTGCATGGGAGAGGATTTAGTATTTTTAATCATGCCTCTCAAGCAAAACAGGTTAGAAATTCTAATTTCAATTGTTTCAAGCTGTCAATTTTGTACAGAGTAATTTTTCTGACTTTGTGGTGGATTAATACCGGTTCAGCTTGATACAGTTGGTGAAAGAGAAGATTGAATAAATACAGTGATTGGGAATAGGGATTAGCTGCATTTCCACTTGGTACTGTGTAGATGTCATTAATGTGGCTCTTGGAGTGGGGAGGGGTTGGAAGGGAGAAGAGAAGGAGTATGGATTGTGTCACCGTAATTATTTTTCATTGCTTATTAGTAATTTTAACTTGGGCTTAATCTTTCCAGCTCTGTGAAGAATTATTTGAGAAAATCAATGACAACAGCAATGAGGAGATATCCTACTCGGTGGAGGTGAGTATGGTGGGGATTGTGGCATGTTCCTGTGCTGCACATAAGCTTGCTGATCTGAAGAAAGCACTGTGTTGTTGGCATTTTGCTGATGCTCACGAACACATTGCCTCCTCCCTTCCACATCTGACAAAAATGGGCAAACAAAACCTTTTCTTTTCTTTGGGCATTAGTATACCTGTCTTAAGGGGACTGTAAAATGATTGCAAGGCTGAAAGCCTGACAGTGAACCTGCAGGCATTTTTGTCGTTATGGGTTGGGAAATCTAGTTCAGTATACTTTCTATGGATTACTTTTAGTCCAAACTTTGAATTCTGTTTGGTGTAGGGCTAATTTAGGTTACTTGATGTTGCAGATTTATTGTGGAATCTCCAGTTTCTCTGCTGTTACAGTAAAGTCCTTGGCCACAGGTGGATTAAGGCCATAGTTGCTAGAGAATGAATGCTGTAAAGCCATATGATGGATAGGAAAGGAATACTGCAGCTTGAATTCAGACTGAACAATTGTGTTAATTCTAGGAACAAGGTAGTTTCCAGGCTGCAAGCCAAATAAATGGTTAGGCAAAGTTCACAGTTGGCAAAGGATTAAAATTCAGACTATGCAAAACAGCAGATATTTTCTTAGCATTTAGACATACCTGCTCATTTTATTGTTAAATAGGATTAGTATTAATTAGGCCTATTAGCCCTGGTAAGAACATAAGAAATGCCATTTACTGGGTCAGACCATGGGTCCATCTTGTCCAGTAGCCTGTGTCATACAGTGGCAGAAAGCAGATGCTGAAAGAATGAACTGGATCTGACCAGGGTTTTTCCTACTGTTCCTCTCTCACTTGCAGCTTCCAGCATTTAAGTTCTAAGAAGCTCTGATTCAGCCCTTGTATCTCTACCCCTGTGCTCAATAGCTACTGATGCCTCTTTCCTCCAAAAATTGTATCCAGTCCTTTTTTGAATCTGGCTAAATTGTCAGCCTTCGCAACACATGGTGGCAATGAGTTTCACACTTGAATTGCACATTGTATGAAACAGAACTTCCTTTTGTGAGTTTTAAACTTACAACCTCCTAGTTTCATTTTGTGACCTGTAGTTCTTGTATTCTGAGAGAGTAAATAATAAATCCCTATTTTCTCTCTTTGCCATTTAGTATTTTGTAAACCCTTATTGTGTCCTCCCTCAAGCATCTCTTTTCTAAACTGTATAGGCCTAGTCTCTTCAGTCTCTTTTCTCATATGGAAGCGCCTCCATACCACTAATAACTCTTGTTGCCCTTCTCTGTACCTTGTCTAGTTCTCCTATATCCTTTTTGTGGTGTGAGGACTAGAACTGGGGCACAGTTTCCAAGGTGTGGATGCACCGTGGATTTATAAAGCGGCATAGTGATACTTTCTGTTTTGATTACAATTCTCTTCTTAATAATCCCTAATGTTTTGCTTGCCATTTTGATGCCTGCTGTACACTGGGCTGATGTTTTGAGCAAACTGGCCCCAAGGACTTCCAGGTATCTTTCTTATGTGGTAACAGCTAATTTCCTATGTAATAGTCCATCATACTGTAGATATGGTTTGGGTTTTTTGCCTAGGTGCATCACTTTATACTTATCTACGTTGAACTTCATCTGCCATATAGTTGCCCATTCACTCAGTTGTGCTAGATCCTTCTGTTGTTCTTTGTAGTCTGCCTTGGTCTTTGCCACTTTGCATTGTGTCATATGCAAATGTGACCACTTTGCTACTTACCTCCTTTTCCTGATCGTTTATAAATATGTTAAACGGCACTGATCCTGGCACAGATCCATTGGGGACCCTGCTGTTTACTTCTTTCCGTTCTGAAAACCGACTGTTTATACTCGCTCTTTGCTTTCTGTCTTTAAGCCAATTTCTAATCAACAAGTAGACATTCCCTGTAATCCCATGACTCCCTAACTTAGTTAAGAGCCTCTGATAGAGGACCTTGTCAGATGCTTTTTGAAAGTCCAAATATACTGTTTCAACTGGATCACTCCGATCCACCTGTTTATTGACACCCTCAACATGGTGATGTCAACACAGCTAAGAGATGAGTAGGATTCTGCTTACCTAGTAGACTTGCTAGCCAAGTTCTGATTGAAGACCTTTTGGTCCTAATGGTGATGGTAGACTAAAGCATAGCTTGATTTCCAGATTTCAAGGCATGTAGGAAAATGACTAAGTGTGTAAACGAGAAGGATTAAATATGGTATCACTGGGACAATCTACATGTACAATTAATGCATATGAATAAACTCCAGAGCTTATTGCTCTGGAGTGTTTTGCTCCCAGGCATACCATTTGAACATGCACTCTGGAGCGTATTGCTCTGGAGTTAATTTGTGTCCAGCATGTGGATCCTGGTTGGAGCAGCCTGGCCTGGCAGGGGAAATGGGGGGGGGGGGGTGCCGCCTGCCAGTCCAGGGTTGCTCTGATGCAGGCTTCATGTACTGCAGACAGGCTGGCTGATGCATGAGGGTGCTTCAGCATGGGAGCTGCCTGCCAGTTGGCCCTGCACTAAAGCACCCTGTGCCGTAGCCAGACAGGGCAGCATCTACATGTGCACTGCTGCGTATGAAAAAACTCCTGCAGGGGTGTTTATTAGTTTTGTGTCCCCTAACAGGGGCGCACGTATAGATGCCGAGATATTTACTGCGCAGTTAATTAGGCAACTGGGTAGTAAACGTCTCGTGTAGATGCACCTACTGAGAACATTTATGGTACTACACCTTGTTGGTTTTTGTCAGACCTCTGAGCACAGGTCCCATGTTAAAATTGGGTTTGTAGCTGATTCCCTTTATACTTGTTTGAAACAACTTAAAATCTGTTTTCAAGGGGAATTTGAGCATAGTAGACCTTTATTAATAGATGACAGTCCTGTGACTGGGTCCACAATATTAAATTATGTCTTCTGATAGTTTCCTGGAGTCCCTTTATCAACTTTCATGGCATTTTTCCTCATCAAAATACCATTTAAAAGAGAGAGGAAAAAAAAAAAGAAAAACCACTAGAACAAAAACTGAGACTTTTTTTTAATAGTCCTACAAGTAGAATAATATGCTTCAAACTTTTAAATGAAGGAATCGGACTGGAGCCAGTTGCCTAGTTCTTGTCTACTTTTACTTTAAGAGAACATGGAATGCCAACATTTAATTTTTACTGTTCTCTAGGGCTGGAAAAAGGATGCAGCTTTGTTTACTAGAATTGGTGTATTTAAGAGGCTTTTTTGAAGCATCAGGTCATTTTGGGCTCTTATTTTAATTGGAAGGAGGGAGTGCCCTCGGAGGTCTGAAACAATACACGTGAAGGAAAAGATTGATCTGTTGTGATGCAAGGATCTTAGGGTAGACACGGGATGAATTGGGGAAGGGGAAGAGAATTGGGTCAGAAACTATGCTGTAAATGTTAAAATAAAAAAATCTCTGTAAGCAGTTAGATGCACATTTGTCTCAGACGTGATTTGCATTTAGACATTAAAAGAACTGCTTCCATCTGAATTCTTTCCACAGAATGGAATTTACCATCTCTTTCAATATTTAATATCTTGCATGCGGAAGTCACTAAGTACCTGTTAGCTTAGAATAAGTTTGGTTCCCTGAGAAACATGCAGATTAAAAATTATTCATTTTTAAAGTGCCTTAGCTTTGTAATTCTGCTGCAGAGAGGTGCAGAACTGAAATGTAATGAGAATTGTCTTGATTAGCTTCTTTTGGAGACTTGGGATTTTAATTTGCCCTGAAGTGTACACTGTTAGAGATCCTGGAGAATGCAAAGTACCCTGTTCAAGAGAATGCAAAGCACCCTGTTCAAGTTTGCTGATGACACTAAGATGTGGGGGGATGTGGGCACATTAGAGGAGAGCAACAGGCTACAGTTGGACCTAGACAGGTTACAAGGATGGGCGGAGGCGAACAGGATGGGGTTTAACATGGACAAGTGTAAGGTGATGCACCTGGGGAGGAACAATCGGCACCACACATACAGGCTGGGGAACTCCCCTCTTGTCAGCACGGAGGTGGAAAAGGATCTGGGAGTCATTATTGACTCCAAGATGAACATGAGTCGGCAATGTGGGGAGGCGGCTAGGAAGGCCAACTGCACCTTGTCATGCATCCACAGATGCATCTCGAGCAGGTCCAAGGAGGTGATCCTCCCCCTCTATGCGGCACTGGTCAGGCCGCAGCTGGAGTACTGCGTCCAGTTCTGGGCGCCGCACTTTAAGAGGGATGTGGACAGCATCGAGAGGGTCCAGAGGAGGGCCACTCGTATGATCAAGGGACAGCAGGGTAGGTCCTATGAGGAAAGGTTGCGGGACCTGAACCTGTTCAGCCTTCAAAAGAGAAGGCTGAGGGGGGATCTTGTGGCCTGTTATAAACTGGTTAGGGGGGATCAGCAGGCGCTGGGGGAGTCCCTGTTCCCCCGAGCGCCGCAAGGAGTGACCAGGAACAATGGTCACAAGCTGGCGGAGGGAAGGTTTAAGTTGGACATCAGGAGGCGCTACTTCACGGTCAGGGCGGCTAGGGTCTGGAACCAGCTTCCAAGTGAGGTGGTGCAGGCTCCCACCCTGGGGGTTTTTAAGAGGAGGTTGGATGACCACCTTATTGGGGTCATTTGACCCCAGTGGTCTTCCTGCCACGGCAGGGGGTCGGACTAGATGATCTGCTCAGGTCCCTTCCAACCCTAGAAACTATGAAACTATGAAAGTAGCTCCTTCATGAAAAGGCCGGAATTTAAATTTCTTGTTTTCAGAAGCAAGATTCCTTGAAAGCAAACTCTTTTTGCTCCTTTCCATGTAACAAATGTGACCGAATAATAAGCCCTAAAGTTAAGTTTCATTGCAAAATTGCATTTGTATAAACCCTTTTATATACTATAAATTCTCATTTGATCATCGAACTTAAGTAAGTAATAGATTGCAGTGAGGCAGTACAGTTTCTGAAAAGGTGGTGGATATAATAGTTCAGCTGATGTTCTCAGTTTGAATCAACCAAATGGGTAGGTGTGGTTGGGTAAAGCACAGATGAAAGCAAAAGTTGGTGATAGAAACTGCTTTGGGTGGAGGGTTTGCAGCTTAAATGAGATCTAAATTGTGACATTGCACTCCCTTTCTCCTGCATGTATCAAAAGCTATTTGGACATGGTCTTTATGTTATCATTGCAAAGGATCAAAAGACTCCTTAACAGTGGCCCTAGAAATGCTGCAGAGCATTTCAACAGACAAAGAGAGCTTCAGATGCTGTAAATCACCCATGTAAATCTATTTGCAGGTAAGTTACATGGAGATTTACTGTGAGAGAGTCAGAGATCTGTTGAACCCGAAGAACAAGGGGAACTTGCGTGTGCGAGAACACCCTTTGCTTGGACCCTATGTGGAGGACCTGTCCAAACTAGCGGTGACCTCTTACACAGACATTGCAGACCTCATGGATGCTGGGAACAAAGCCAGGTATGTTATGATACAGTTTGTCAGCTGGTGGTACAGTAGTTTGTATTCTTTTGTGCGGATTCATTGGAACATAACTTGGCAATCTGTTTTGTCATGCCTTTGGTGCATGTTGAACTCACTGTAAAAACTGCTACAGGAATTAGTCCTAGTAAGAAGATGCATTGTGCTTCATAAATGCAAGTTGGATGTCAACACACAAATATTGTAAAATGGTACCGCATTTTATTTATGTCTTAAGCTTGCAGGAATTTGTGATTAAAATATGCTAGTAATTGCACTGCCTTGTGGTGCCCTTTACCTCCCAGGCTTTTCTGTATACAGATACAGTGATCTTTGCATAAATGCCTCCCAAAAACAAGCTAGTTAAAAACAAAATCCATTTAGAACCACCCTGTTGGCTTTATTCTTTGATGGGTTAATCCATAAAGCAGGGTTTAGGGAAGGAAAGGAGAACATAACTGGAGACGGCAGTAGATGGGGATTGATGCTGGGAAGTTGATGAGTGCTATCTTGACAATACTCGGTTGAAATTCATTTAATCTTCCTGAGCCTTTATTTGCAGCGTGGAGCTGACTTGTTTCTTCAAAACAAATCTGTCTCTTTTTCTAGGACTGTGGCAGCCACCAACATGAATGAAACCAGCAGCCGCTCTCATGCCGTGTTTACGATAGTCTTCACTCAGAAGCGACATGACACAGAAACTGACCTTTCTACCGAGAAGGTAGTTATAGAGTGGGAGCACTGGGGATTGACTACCACTCAAGTCCTCCGTGCAGTGACCTGTTGTTTCACTGGAGGAGGGAGATGGAACTGGAAATTTGACTGTCATCTTAATGTATGATATTTTGGATGGGAAAGAACTTTTTTATGTCTTTATCCACTGCTTTTATTGCTGGCTTTTGAAATTAGTTTAATTTAACTGGGGATACTGACTGGGAAGGCCAGGAACATAAGAGTGGAACAGGATATGGAGGCATAGAGGATGAGGATCCATTAAAGAAGTCTAAAATAAGTTGGATGAAGGTTTACATCCTTTCTTGAACGCAAACTTCTGTTTCTGTTTTTCAAGGCCTAACTAATTACTCCCTCATTAACTCTCTTCTGCAGCCTCCCTGGTTTAGTGAGGATGCTTAGGCCCAGTATTGCCAACTCCAGTGTGCCAGAAATCATGAGACAAACTCTTTAAAAAAAAAAAAAAAAAAAAAAAAAAAA